AAACAGGGGGCCAGTTCACTGTCCCTCAGACTGTTGGAGGGCCGGACTATAGTTAAAAAAAAAAAACATGAACAAATTCCTATGCACACTGGACGAGTCCGCTGCCACAGGCAGCTGTGGCAAAAACACCCGGCGGGCTGGATAAACGTCCTTGGCAGGCCGCATGTGGCCCGCGGGCCTTAGTTTGAGGACCCCTGCTCTATACAATGAAGTAGCAAGTGGAGTGCTGCCATCAAGCACCATGAAGCCAACTCGTTTCAAGAGACCAGAGGAGGAGAGGAGAAGGACTCCAAGGGGTGGGCAGCTCAGCAGAAAGGAGCCAGGTCACATAAAACAGCCGCTTGCAATGCACGAGGTGGTCACAAAGGCCTTTTTACACACCTGCTGTCACCTTGAGTGAGCAGTCTCTCTGAGCCTCACAGCCATATTGTGAGCGGCAACAAGGCGGGGTCGTAGATTTATAGGAGGTCACAGATGGGTAAACCAAGGCTCTGAGTGGCTAAGTGATGGTTCTGCAGCCAGTGCTCTGAGTCTGCCCCACTCTGGGTGGGTGGGTAAAAAAGAGGTGCCAAAGAGTGACATGCATAACTCAGTGGATACAGGTGGCTCTAGGCAGCACACACGGTCAGGTTTTTAAGTGAATCATTGTCCACTCTCATGTTGGTTAGAGCACCGAGAGCCAGATTTCATGGCTATGGTTTCTCAGGTGAGTCACCATCAAAGTGACGATGGGAAGTCCGGAAGTCCGTTGAAGGAGGAAGGTTCTGTGAGGAAGAGAGCATGCAGGATGCAGCTACCGCAGGGTGGAAGGCCGTGGCCTGCAGCCAATCTCTGTGGAAGAGCCCTTTGTGAGGGCTGAGGACCGGTGTGACCATGCCAGCGAGGGCACAGACCCAGCTGGTGCCCCTTAGCTGCTCTGTGTGTGGGGCGGTGGGCGTTGAGTCACGGCAGACACTGACTTTGGCATTAACAAGCCCCCTGGCCTTATGTCTTGTAGATCGCTGACTTTGGACTCTCCAATCTGTACCAGAAGGACAAGTTCCTGCAGACGTTTTGCGGCAGCCCACTCTACGCATCTCCTGAAATAGTCAACGGGAGGCCGTACCGGGGGCCAGAGGTGAGCAGAACATCTGTGTGTGTGCGTAGGTCCATGCACGTAAGCACAAATGGGTGGACTAGGGGGAGGGAGAGCACCAGGATTGAATCCAGGAAATATTTAAAAAACAAACTCTAAGACTGCTTGCCCAGATCATCCTTAAGCCTTAAGCTCCAAACCAAAACTTTTCCCAGAAGTCAGCTTGAAAACAAATAACACGGTGGCCTACTTTTCAAAGGGTGCTTGCCCAAAGCCCTGAGCGCTCCCTCAAAGAGTGAGCCAGGCGGCACCAATCAGACCGGGGTATCTCGCAAGGTTGGCCAAGGCCCTGAGCCCAAAGCCCTGAGCCCTTCCTCAAAGAGCGAGCTAGGCGGCATCAATCGGACCGGGGTATCTCGCAAGGCTGGCCGAGGCCCTCAGGGGACAGTGACTGTACGTTCATGGTGGTGTCATAGTGCGGGACAGAATGGCTATTTATCCCGCTCGAAGGATGTCAATGGAACGGCAGCTATAGAGTGTGCTGAAAGGGTGTATTCTTTGTCGAGTATAGGTTCTCAAGAAAGAAAAAAAACTAAAAGCAAGCAAGAAAACCCCATTCTTTTTGTGATTATAAAGATCAGATGGTTACCAAAATCAAAATGACTTGCACGCCCCCCAAGAGATGCCACGTTCAAAATTTTCGTGAAGCTTCTTTTAGACTTGTTCTCACTGTAGATCTCCGTTCTTAATACTAAGTGAGCTCATCACACAGGTGCCCACATGCACACACCCAAGCACATGCATGCACTTTTCTGTATTCGTTATCCTTGTGTAAAAGCAGCATTTCACATGGTCATATACTATTTTGTTAGGTGCCATCAAGTCAGTTCCAAATCGCGGCAGCCCTGTGCGCGATGAAATGAAACACTGCCGAGCCCGGCACCATCCTTGCCACAGCTGTTCTCTTTGAGCCCTTGCTGCAGCCCCTGTGTCATCCCACCTCATTAAGGGTCTTCTTCTTTGGTGTGGACCCTCTGCTTTATCAGGCATGAGGCCTTTTTGCAGGGACTGAGTCCTCTGGATATCGTGTCCAAAGTAGATAAGACAAAGTCTTATCATCCTCACTGCTAAGGTGCATGCTGGCTGTACATTTTCCAAGACAGACTTGTTTGTGCTTTGGGCAGTCCATGGTCCTTTCATTATTCTTTGCCAGCAACATTTTCCAGCTGCATCAACCCTCCTGCAGTTTCCCTTAATCCGTGTCCAGCTTCCACACGCATACAAAGCTATTGAAAAGGACTGTGGCTTGGGTCAGGAGCACCATAATCCTCAAATAATTTATTTAGCCACCTCCCAAATTTGGACAGTCAAGCTTTTAGTTTTCCCCTACTATATCAAAGCAGTCCACTGGTAGCATAGTGGTTACGTGTTGGACTACGATTTGCAAGGTGGGCAGTTCAAAACCACTAGCAGCTCCTCGGGAGAGAGATGGGCTTGCCATTGCTGTAAACAGTTACAGTCTTGGAAACTCACAGGGGTAGTTCTACCCTGTCCTGTAGGGTCGCTATGAGTCAGTATTGACTTGATGGTAGTGAATGAGATAGCAAAACAAGCAATACAAAACAAAACCACTCGTGAACACACACACACACACACACACACACACACCCTGAAACTTCAGCAAGTAAGTCTTTGAGAGCGTGCCTTGTGGACTAAGGAAATACATTTTCACTGCACTGTCTGTTTCATGAGAAGTCAGCTTTTTTCTCAGCATGCCTGAAGTGCTCAGGGCCACGGCCAGATGCTGCTCTGGGGCAGGACTGTTTTGAGAGCGGGGGAGCTGTGGAGTGATGGTTTTAACAGCACGGATCCCCTTTCCGAGGGGTGCATCCTCTCACGAGCAGCTGCTCAGTGTGTTGAAATGCTTCTTCCAAATATTTATCTGTTTGCAAGCGTCTGGGGGCAGGGCTGGAGGGTATGGAGAAGAAGAATGCCAAGCATCTCCCTCCATCCCAGGGAGAGAAAGTCTTTCTAAAATAATTGCACCAGGCAAGGAGCAAAGAGCTTGATTTACTAAATTGTAGACACTCCACCCGGTAAATTTGTGGGCGAATAGGAGGGCTGCCTTCATCCTTGGTGACCTCTTTTTGAGGTCACAGCCTGGCAGCTTGTGGTCTGGCCCACAAGCTTGTTTTATTTGGCCACACTTGTTTTGGGCTTTTTTCTTTTTCCTTTTAAAGTAGGCAAACATTAAATACCTGGGAGATTTCTTGCAATAGCCTTGCTTTCTGACTTCTCTCGAAAATCCGAGCGCTGGGTCCCCGTGGCTGGTAGCAGCTAGTGAAGAAGTGGCTGCCAGCTTCGGATGGCAGAATGCATTTTCTAGTTTCCGCTTTGTCCCCAGCACTCCATGTGGTGGCCCCGGATTCTGTCTCGCTTTGCTTGTGTCGGTGAGCTGCGCCGCCCTTTTGAGAAATTGAGTTTGCAGCCCCTGGTCCATCTGAAGGTATAGGAAGGAGTTGATTCCACGTGGGAGAGAAAGCTGCCTGCACTAGGCGTGAAGCGCCCCGAGCCCCAGTCTCCATCACTGGGCCAGAACGTCTGGGGAAGTCGTTTAGCGTCCATGAGCCTCAGTATTCTCCTCTGCCACGTGGGGCTAAAAAACCATTGCTGCATGACCTGCTTCACAAAAGGAGAGGGAGGCTTGGACGAGACCACCTGTGCCAGAAAGTTCCGAGACACAGTGGGCCTGGTGGTCTCCGTTCCCAAAAGAAGGGCAGGCAGTGCCGGCCCCCACTGTGCTGCCTGTCAATTATCACTGGCGGTGGGACCTGCCTGCCAGGTGCTTGGTTCAGCTCCTGGGGGGCTGCTCACATTCAAGGTTGTGAATTCAGGCTCCTGGCTTGGCAGGCCTCCTGGGATTTGGTTCCCGAGCTTCTCCATGTCCTGTGTCTCTGCTCCAGGTGGACAGCTGGGCCCTGGGCGTGCTTCTCTACACTCTCGTGTACGGAACAATGCCCTTCGATGGTTTCGATCACAAGAACCTCATTCGCCAGATCAGCAGTGGAGAGTACCGGGAGCCCACACAGCCGTCAGGTGGGTGCCCTGGCGGGCAGGGATTGAGGGAGTGTGGGGAGTGCTCAGCTTACTTACCCTGTTTGTTTGTTTTTTTGAACAGTTTTATTAGCCTATGATTCACATATCATACAATTCTATAGTTCAATCCCACCAAGAAGAGTTGTAGTCATCATGACAGTCAGCGTTAGGATATTTCCTTCCATCTTGTACTCACCGTTATTAGCTCCCCATTTCCCCCCAACCCGCCCTGCCATCCCCTGAAGGAGCCATTAATCCATGATTGTTTGTATAGAATTACCTGTCCTGCATTTCAAATACAGAGGAACATTAAAAACAACAACAAGAAGACTAATAACAGTAACAAAGTAAAACAGATAAAAGACCTCAATCAATCAGAAAGCAGAAAAAAATAAGATTAGAACAAGTTGACAATGTATCTCAAGGGGGCTCACATGACAAGGTGCTAAATGTTAACCTAACTGCGTCTGTTCTCATCCACTTTCTCCTGCATTCTGCATGATAGCAAGGCTGTTGACATCGCTGGTCCATGGTCAGAGGGGATTCACGGGATGCTTAATCCACGTGTATCTCCCCTTGTCTGCTCTGGTGTTAATGCCTCTGCAAAAATGTTCTCCCTCTTACTCTGTCTTTCTCCCCCCAATCTTTGTCTTTTGGTTTACTTTAGACTGCTTTACCCAAACCTTCTCAAGCAAACACTTTACTCGACAGGCTAGGAATCCCCTTTGATGGCCAGGTGAATGTGGGCCAATCCCTTAACCTTTGGGCTTTCTTCTTCCCCATGAATGAAAATCTGAAGAAAGACACTATGTGAAGCCCCTTTAGTTTGCCTGGGGTCCCTGGGTGGTGCAAGCAATGGACGGTGCTGGGCGGCTGACCCTGACATTGGAGAGATGAATCTCTGCAGAGGTCCCTCAGAAGAAAGGCCTGGCAGTCTGCTTGTGAAAACCAGCTAACTTCACTAGTGGCGATATGACTCCTGGCATTCTATAGAGACTCAGGAAATACGTATCGAACAATCGAATCCCCTTTCCACTCAGGGGTGCGGGTCCCCTCAATAGGGCAGTCCCTATTGCCCCGAACTTTGCCAGCTACTCATCAGCCATCATAAGCTGCTGGGGGGTGGTGGTGGTAGGGGAGTTGTGGTTGCATCCAGATAGAATTTAACCCCCGTTGGGTTTGATCTTCAAAGCCAGCTCCCAGGCTGTGGATGTCAGTTGGCTCCTGTGGCCCCCACAGCAGCCTCCGTGGGCCTTTCCTCTAATGCTTGGAGAGCAGATGTTTGCAGGGGGACTTTTCAGTCAGGCTGCAAGCAGACAGCATGGACAGATCATCCCCCTGCTCCGCTGGCCCTGCGGTACGGCGCATGTCAGCCAGGGAAGACCCGAGAGCCTGGTGAAGGCCCGGGGCAGCGTATGGCTTGCTCTCACTGCCCAGGTATGCCAGGGGAGTGATCTATGACCCCAGAACTCCGTTTCATTTTTGGCTCGCTTCCTCTCTCCCTCTCCATCTCTTCTCTGGTGCCTGCACACTTTCCCTGCAGCTGTGGTGTTATGTGTTTGCGCACGCACCTGTCCAGAAGGGGAAAGCTAGCCAAGGTGGTCCGCACTGCTTTCCCTCTTGGAAGAGAGATAATCCGCCCCAGGGTTCTGAGCCTCCCGGGGGGTTGGATCTGGGAGTCTCTTGCTGGCACCCAGCCCTCATTACTCTATAAACCCAGGTTGGTGGGCAGGGCAGTAGTACCCTGATATTCCTTCGTGAATAGGAAAAAACCCACCAAACGTTGCTAGCACTTAGGTATGTGGTTCTGAGCCTTGGTTCCTTGAATGTTCAGTTCAGAAAACTTTTCAACTTCCTGCTCAACCGTGTGGTAGGGCCAGGCAACGCCCAATTATTCTGAGACTGAGTGTGTCTCCATGATCACCCTTACAGAGTGTTTTAGGGGACAGAGGAGTCCCTGAATCTCAAATATAACTTAAGGAGGACATTTACTGAGTCTTAAACAGGACCAGGACAAGGACGAAGACACAGTATCCAGAGGAGGGAGCCCATGAGCATGAGGTCATACATAATCATGTGGGTTTGCAGCGATTCCGAGGCTTACAGAGGACAAGGGGGCATCAAGGGGATTGTCACAAAAGCATGAGTGGTGGCAGAGCAATCCATGGTAGTTGCAGATGGGACTACAGAAACAGGAACAGGACCATGAAGGGGACATGTGTGCGCTGCTAAAAAGAGGAGCTTTAAAGATGCGCCCAGGGCTCTCAGACCAAGGCAGTCAGGGCCCTACTCAAGACCGAGGCCCCAGGATGGGGATGTCAATCAAGGACACATCCAGGCAAGCCCTTAAGGAGACTGCCCCTTCCCTGAGCTAGTCAGGCAGGGGTGGAGATAATGCACTTTCCCATGGATTCTGCCTGAGAGCAAGTCTATTCGCATCCCTGGACATTGGCCAGAAAGAACTCAGTGGAGGCTTAATCGAAATGGGGACTCTGCAAATGGATTTTGGGCTTTCACTGCTATCCATCATGCCCTTCTGCAAGCACACTGCCACTGAGTCATCTCCAACTCATAATGACCCTGTGTTAGTCCGGGTAGACCAGAGAAGCAAATCCAGGGAGAGTCAGATGTGTATAAGAAAGAGCTTTATGTATAAGAGCAGTTGAATATTGAGAAAACAGCTCAGTCCAGATCAAGTTCATAGTCTGATATTAG